CAATCCCCAAAATGCTCCTTACGGTAAGAGAAAACAGTAAGTGGAAAACTGACCCCAATGCCCCAACAGAAATCCTTGGCAATGCTGATCCAGACCTGATCCTTCAGTGAACTGTCATTATTACTGAGAAGCTCCAGGGATGAGAGCCTGCTGGAAGTCACTGTAGCTGGGAAGCTCCCAAAAAGGTGAAAGGAAAGACTTGGAACCAAGGACATGGAAAAGAGGCCTCCAAGGGAAAGGAGGCTTGTTGACTGAAAGGAAATTAAGAACAAGGCTAGAATCTACAGTAGGGTAAAACCCAGATAGGAAAATAAATGAATGCCAAAGACGGCTTTCCTGGCAGAGGGCATCTAGGATGTGGGGCGGCAGAGACAGGAAGAGGAGCCCAGAGAGAAGACAGCTAGACAGGAGGGAGAGCAGCAGGCAAAAAGCACTTCAGGCAGCTGGCCAATTATAATAATGATTATCACAGAAACAGAAATTTCCTAAGGATGTTAAAGGCCTGTGGTGCTTTTGAGGGTAGAAAGGTAAAACAGCACACTATGAAAAGTAAAAGCATTAAACAATTCTTATAATAGTCATTTTCCACTTCTGATAATAAACAAAATATTTTGCCCGCCAATTTAAAATTCTACGATCCTACAGAGCCAATCTAGGAATTAAAAAAAAAAAATTACCAATTCAGTTTACACACTGAAAAATAATGAACTGCTAATATTATTCTATTACAAAACCTATACTTGACTCCTTTCTGCCCCTCTACCAGTATGTTATACCAACTGTGGTTTTATCCCTTATTCAACTTATAATCCAACACCAAACAAAAACAAAAACAAACAAAAAAAAATAAGGTCCTGCCTCATAGTTAAACTCAGACCACTGAGGATGATATTCAACACACCCAGAGTATCCCAAAGTTATCTACAGGATGACTAGACTGAGCTACCACTCCAGAAGAACCACACCCCCAACTCCCTTACACCTGTTGCAGAGTGGGTTAGCTCCTGCCATTACTGAAAAACACAGAGACGCCTTGGGTAAAATCCCTATTAAAAATCCCAAGCCACAATGTCAAAGGTTAGATTCTGCCACAATACCTTGATTACAAATAAATGTCCTTGCTACTGCCTCTAACCAAGGCCTGACCCTGGGCAGCCATTGTCTTAGAGATCTCTTTTGACTTTTAGTTGTGAAAATGACCAACTGATTCTATATATATCTATCCCACTCTTCATTACAACTCAGTCTACATCTAAAACTTCTTCCCACTTCAGGGTCTAACCCTGGTGCAAAGTTTCTGCCTATTGTCCTGCCCCTGACACCTGTCTTCAGCTCCAGTGATAATCCTAGTAGATAGCTGAATCTCTGTTATGATCCAAGTACCTGAGAGCGAGTTACAGTCAACAAAGCACAAGTGAAGATCAGTCCAGAAAAGAAATAATATTGAATTTATTCTAACTTTATAAAATCCTTTATTCATACTTTTTCCAATAAAACACAAGGCTTTCAAGAAAAAGATTTTCATATTTTCAATTTTTTCCTTGTTGGTAGCTCAAATAACATCAAGCTCCCGTATTGCAAGAGAAAAATAAACTCTAGAGTTTGTTTTAATAGAAAGTTATCTGTATATGCAAAAGTTTAATTTACTTACATATTTCATCGATGAAGAGTCATTTTAAAAATAAGAGATTACTCAGCAAATTAGCTATGTGACCACAATTATAAAATATTTTATCAAAGAGAATAAACCACACGCAAATAGAAGCAAGTCAATACTATTGCTAAAATAATAATGCATCATTTGTATTTTTTAAAAAATAGGTACAAAAGGGAATCAGCATCTTTAGCTCCACTGAAATTATGACATTTGAATGAACTTCTCCCAAAAAATATTGCATATACTTCGGATTATTTTTTTCCTAGCCTACTCAGTGAAATTCAATTATCCAAGTTATAATTAAAATATCTCCCCAGTACTTTTCCACTACAGCACCTCAGTTACCTGCTATATTCTAAGTTAAAAGGACTAAATGAAGTCAGCCTAGCCAACACTACCAGAAATGAGATTTGACTTCCACGAATGTCTCATTCATTTCTAATCCTTACCCAGATGGCACAGAATTTGGATAGAGTAGACCTACTATAAGTGTTTGTTGAATGTTAGAATAAATTATAAAAAGAAAGAAAGGCAGCATTCCAACATGTAACACTATATTAGATTTATTACATTAGTATATATTCAATGATTTTATTAGTAAGAAAAGTTAGCAGAATGAACAAAGGCCCATACCAGTGCATTTCCAATGTATCACTCCTCAGAGTAAATAAAACCCACAAGGAGGATTCATCACAAAGAAAAGCCTAAAGAAGCTAATTCCCAAGTTATGCCTCCCCCACTGTGAGCATGAGGACAAGCTTATTGCAGTACTTCTTAGAAAGATCATGCTGATGTATTGCTATCAGGGCACAATGGTAAAGAAGAAAAGGAAAATGGCTTATAAGTTCACTTCCTAAGAGGACTATTCTAGCATTGGACTAAGTAATGAGAGGTGATGGCCTAGGCAGTACAGCCTAGGAAGGAGGTGAAAAGGGGCACATATTAGAAATAATTCACTTTATATTTTGAATGATTCACCTTCAAAGGGGTCATGCTAGTAAGTCAAACAGAAACTGTAACAATACATCAGGCAATCATGATGCAACAGAAACTCCATCCAGAATTATGGATAAAAACTTACCACCTAGAAGGAAAATTTATTTTTAAAATGAATCCAGAGTTGGAAGATAAGAAAACACATTTTCGTGTGGTTAGTTCTTATGAAACTACTATATATTCAACATTTTTCATATTTCACATATTTCATATTCACATATTTCAACAGCATGCATTGTAAATAAGGATTTAAAAAACCTCTAATATACAAAACCTAACCAACAGACAATCCTAAGTATATAGCACACATTTTCAAGAACAAAGCTAAGAACTAATAATTAATAAAAATATGTTGATAATATTGTACTTATTCTCCCTCTTACATGTAATTCTGTCACTATAGCCAATTGTTAATTATGTACAATTGGCACAACTCAGGATAATATTAAACTGTTCGTTCGTATACTGCCCCTTACCTATAAACTCTTACACTCTAGTTGCAAAAAGAAATGTTACTCTTCATTTACTCTCTTTTCAATTATATAAAAGTGGTCTGAAAACAGAGCAAGTGCACATCCGAGATCTGTGGTTCTGAACTTACGGACTATAAATACTGGGGTGCTCACGGTTAGTCTGGATATCAAACAAGCTGAGTTATCTGAATATATAACAAACCTCACACCTTTATTTACTGCCATGTTTAAAATTATTGTGATTAATAAGATATACACTTATTTGAAAGTATTAAAGCAATATTAGCTTTCTAAAAAGTAATTCAGCTTTTAATAGAAACTAATCCCCCATCTAGCAACTTCTACAGAAGTTCTATGAGATCCTCAACTTTAAATAAGAATTGAACAAAGAAATGAAGAATTACTGGATTTTTTTGTCATCATAAATTTTCTCAGTCAACAGATACTAAATGCACACCCATCATATGTGAATGAGATCTTAAAATATCTCACGTGACAAAGCTACCTCATGTTGGGACTCACTAACTTGGATCAAAGTTATATGTGGACGAGTATTCAAAAATTCTCTCTTAAGTGGGAGGAAAAGAAGAGGACAAAATTGTAACTGTCATCATAAGACAGGCAGAGAAAAAAGCAAGGAAAACTTGCTTTGCTGGTGAGAGAAAAATAGGGGTCAGGACAGTCCACTGAGTTGTCATCCCCATAACAAACCAATGAGTTTAGATTCTGATCCTCATATCAAGGCTCACACTGAGGGAATCTTAGCACCTTTATATCCCCAGGATGTATTATGGTGCTATGGCCCCAAAATGTCCCTGAGAGTATCTACTGATTTTATTCTGTATCATTGCTGGACACATGTTACATATGTCTGCAAATCACTAGGTTATTCTAAATACAACTCATGGAAATTGAAAAAGGGACTTCCTAGTTTCCTAGTTGAGTTGGGAGGTTTGTGAAGACAGTGTTAGCTATCACTATATCTCCTCTTCATTTTTCTGACAGAACACTTCTTTTCCCCTTCAGTCCACTTTAATGGTCCCAAACTGCACCATTTTACCTTTCTTAAGGAAATTATGTGTCCTTTTGGAATATGAAAATGAATCTGTACAGATACCTAAGCTTTATTCTTTCAGTGTGATTTTTTTTTTTAATTTTAAGATAAATCATATAGCAAATCAAGGGATGACCTAGATTCTTTAATTACAAGAAACTTGGTTTTCTCTTCAGAATAAATGGACCTGGGACTATGAAATAATTTTTGTGCTAAGTGAGTACATACTGGCCTATATTAAACTAAAAGATTTTCATTTCCTCTAAGATAAACAGTTTAAGTAAATGCTAAAATTTCACACCTATGGAAGGTAAAATTATAAAGCATCTCACCCTGGTTAAGTTTTCTCTAGATTTTTCAACAGAAGATGAGATGGTAATTAGAATATTTTGATATTTCAACTAGTAAAAAAGACCACATCAGCTGAGCAGCAAAGAAAAGGCTGTGTTCTTATGACTGGCTACTAGATTTAGTAAAAACACGGTCATCATCTTCAGCTCTAACTTATTTCCTCTTTCCATCATATTATCAACCCAAATAGCTAACCAAAAAACAAATGCTCTGTCTCTGCCATCTACTGGAGAAAAGATACAGAACACACTCACTACAGGTAAGTCAACTGCAGACATGCAGACCATATAGTATTCATGTTAACATGTAAAGTGAGTTATTTCTTTTTCCAAGGGTTTACATTTACCTACCTGCCAAGTGGAGAATGAGCGAAGGGAAGGGGAGAGAATAAGTGTGTATGAACACAAAAGCACAGATAAGCTCAAGATATTTTAATTTCTCTCAGACGGCTTCACACACCTACACTTACATGGCCGTGGAGATCCGTGTTAAGAAGCATCATTGCACAGGTGAGACAATGGACTCCATCTAAGGGAAGAGACAGGAAAGAAAGCATTAATTCACCATTTCCCGTTGGACTTATTATCATTAAAGTGGCATACGTTAAGAACCTCTGAAAACACAATATGTGGCTAAGCATAGTCATATTTGTTTGGGGAGAAAAAAAAAAATTATTAAAAGGGCCTCAGTGCAGAGAGTAGGACTCTGCTGGTGATAAAGTATATTATTCTTAACTCTCTGGAGGGTAGTTTGATAGTACATATCTTAAGCTTTGGAACAGTATCTTTCAACATAGCAAATCCATTTATAAGACTTTACACTAAGGAAATAGGATCTATACAAGATACAAGGGTATCCAAAGAAATATCGCTTATAATGGGGAACAAGTAAATAAAACCCTCCCAAACCACAATCCTGTTATGTTTAACATTTATTAAAAATGTTGTCCAAGTATGCTGACTGTTGAAACAAAAAGATATTTCACAATAAATTATTATATGAAAAGCACATTATATGCAGTATGATCCCATTTAAATATAAATACATCTAGAATAATATATAGAATTATACTAAAATATTACTGTCTCTGGGTAATGAGATAATTTTTATCTTTTTATTTATATTTTCCTAATCCTATGTAATAAAAGATGCAGAAATGAAAATACATGATTTGCTACCGTTCCTTCTTTTTTTTTTTTTTTTACTTTCTGGGAGGAATGCAAATTAAGAAAGAAGCAAAAAAGTTACAGGAAATGAAGATTTGGGTCTTTCAGTGTACTGTCCAGGTATTAGTTCTCTGGCTAAAAATATATGGGTAGGAATAGTTATCCTCTTTCTTGACAATTCACTAAAGGCCACATGTAGGTCAACTGGTCCAGGATACTATGGATCAGCCAAAAGTAAAATACTGCAATAATCTGTAAAGAATAAAAAATTAAATATTCAGGGGAAAGATGCTGCTCAAACCAGATAGACCATGTCACATTTAGGTGGAAACATCACTCTTTCTTACTTTATAAAGGAAAAGAAAAAGCACTAAGAATGAGAAGCCTCTCATTTCCAAACCTTAGAATTACTCCTCCTCATTCTTTTCCTGCAATTCTCAACCCAAGGATAGTAGACAATGGTAGCTGCAGATGCAGAAAAATCTTACTGTGTATGCCAAATGTGCGAAAAGCAGGCCTTCCTAATTACTGAATTCATGAGTTAAAGACAGCTTATTTCTCAGAAGTATGCCTTTGAGTAGAGTAGGTGATTTCTATTATTAATATCTCTAAGGAGATGCTACTGAATGCCCAAAAGTGCATTTATTCCAGTTCCAGATTATGATTATTAAATTTTAAGTACATTTAAAATAAATTCCTTGAAAGCATTTGTAAAACGCTCAGCAGCCAACTCTCCAATACCCTTATCAACAGCCACATGAGTGTACATATCGAAATTCCTTATTTCACTCAGGAATGTCAATATTTTATTAGATTTAGAGGAGGCTTTTAATAAAAACAATTCCCTTCTATCCGTTTCATTCTCTACACAATACTGATAAGTGATAGAAACAGTGAGTAAATAGTCTAAGTATAATCAAAGAAAGGACTAAAGAAAACTAAATTCCCATTTTATGGAGCTGAATGTGACTCTAATGATCAGATTGTTAGTTAATTTAGCTATAGCCTACAGGGCAGGGCTGGGGGATTAATCACTTTAGTCAACATCAAGTATACTTATCCCAGTTAAATAGCAAGACTGAAGCTAGAGATAATGGTTATTTCTGGTGCCTCTAATCCTAGTGATCTATTCCAGAATTCGTGTTTATGAAAGATTCTCCCATTGCAAATGAATGCGCCTGACTTCAAACCTTGAAAATTTTACTTTATTGCAGGAATTGACATGGAGGAAAACCTCTTGATAGGGTGCATCAACACTGAAATAGTTTAAAGTTGCTTTATAAAAATAGTACAATAGGGGCGCCTGGGTGGCTCAGTGGATTAAAGCCTCTGCCTTCAGCTCAGGTCATGATCCCAGGGTTCTGGGATCAAGCCCCTCATCGGCTCTCTGCTCAGCGGGGAGCCTGCTTCCACCTCTTTCTCTCTGCCTGCCTCTCTGCCTACTTGTGATCTCTCCCTCTGTCAAATAAATAAATAAAATCTTAAAAAAATAATAAAAATAAAAATAGTACAATAAACATAAACTCATAGTTCATTAAAATCATACACCAAAGTCAGTGGTCAATGTTGCTACAACGAATTATCAAACCAAAGCACTGGAGACACACTACAAACTCCAGTGGATTTGTAAATGTTTCCAAAAATAAGTATACATGCTCTTCAAGAAGTTTAGAGATCAGAGGGATAGAAAGAAGAAATAAAACCTGCATTTCATTTATTACAATGTGCTTTGTAAAATTTCAGAGTGATTTAAAGCATCATATCATACTATAGAACTGGAAAACAAAGTAAAAAATAATGAAAAGAAAAGAATGTCATGCAGCCATTAAATATGACACGAGAAAATGCTCAGAACTGAAAGGTAAAGAACAGAAAACAAAACTCTGTAATGATTCAAATTTGAAATTAAATATTATACAAATAGAGAAGGAAATAAATCAGTTGTTAAAAGTTATCTCCAGATAATTAGAGATCCCTAGATGATTTTCATTTTCTTCTGTATAATCTTCCATATTTTCCACAATAAAATTTAACTTTTATAATGAGAAAAATAACCCTTGTTTTTTGAAATACAAACATTTCCATCAGATTACCTTGTGAAGCAATGGTATTTGGGTTACAATAAAAGTATCTATTGGAGAAGTGTATTAAAACTCTTTCTCGTTCTTGAGTTTCTCCCACAAGAGAAAATGCTTTAAAGAAATACCTAAAAAAAGAATTAAGAGAAAAAAAGTGAAACTAGAAAACATTACCATACTCTTTATGTTTGATAATTAAAGTTAATTCATATATAATATGAAATTAATTATACAAAGTAAGATATTCTAGTTATTAAAAAAACACTTGCTAGAGATAGCCATTCGATATAAATTTATTTAATTCTATAAAATGTTAATATGAAAGATGACAGAATAGTAACAGTAACATGGTAGCTAATACATTAAAATAAAGCCCTGGGAAGGTAGTAACTTCCCTGTATGACTGAAATGGCAAGTACCCATTTAAAAGATCAGTCAGATAAAAACCAAAGAACACTTAAAGACCAAACCCATAACCATGGAGGCTATGTTTTAAAACTATAACAGTTTGTCATTTTGTTTATATGATTGTACTTGCAACTGACACATTGTTATATAAAACAAACGAATCACTGAACTCTACCTCTGAAATTAATAATCATTATACATTAATTAACTGAATATAAGTAAAATAAAATTTAAAAAAAGAAAAAAATTACAATTATATTATCTTGTGTACAATTTTTGTTAATTTTATTTTGCCTATTATCACATTATATTAACTTTTTATATGAGAAGAAAATTGGGAGCTAAAACCCAACTAATTAATGTATAAAAATTCTTTGAAAAACAAAAATATGCCCAGAATCACACACCAATCTAAATCAGAGTCACTAAGAGTACTGTCTATTAATGATGAATTCCAATGACCCTCACTAGATAAAGTGGATGCACTTCCCTAAACATGAGTTAGGAAGGAAAAAAAAAATTCCTTTAAAATGTTCTAAGAAATCTTACAATTAGAAGAAACATACAACATTATTATTTCTATGATGAAAGTGTTGCTTTCTTAGCTTGTTAACTTATACTGATCAAGCTGGAATTTTTCATAACTGTCTTTTATAAACCACATCAGAGCACAATGCATAAACATCAATCTTTTCTCTACCCTTACTTGTTTTCAGTGGAAAAACCTACGTATGCCCTCAATTCACACAAAGTACCACTCAATAAGTCATTATTGTGCATTCTAACCTAAATATCCTCACTCCACCTCCCAAAACACAGTTTCCTCATTCATAAAACTAGAGGGTGATACAGATGATCTTAGAATTCCTCCAGGCTCTAACATGTTATAAAGTTAGTAAGAGGTAAATGCTGACTGGGTTTTACCTTCACGACTCTTAGAAATTTACAGTACACTATGGTGTGAAAAGTGAGGATCAGTGTTTTTATTAAACCTTCATTTGAACAGATCAGCAAAAAGTGCTACTATCTGAAACAGTTTACAGATATCTTCTGCCGATTATATGTTGATGTTCATTTTTATTCCATTCATGAATTAATTCCAAGCATCATCTTAAAGGCTATTTGCCTATTATAAACAAATGTTTAGGGGGGAAAAGCCTGCAATTCTACAGTCTGTAAATCTGTGCCTTTTTTAATTGATCATCCAAAAACCAGATTCCCACAGATTCTACTTTTCAAGACCTACTTTTGAGATTCCACTTCTCAAGACTTACTATTTTTTACTATGTCATCTACTAGATGGAAAATATGATTTCATTAAAAAAATGATTTTCTTTCTATTATGTCTAATAAACTATAGTATAATCTGAACTAAGATCACAAAGTCACTATGGGCTAAAAGAATTAAAACTTGGATTTTAGTTTCAGCATTACTTTCTCTTCTCAGAATTATTTGGAAGCAAAAAAGAACAGAAGTGATATTTAATCATACCTGAGAGACTGATCCAGTGTCATTCCTGTAAAATCAAAAAACTTCAGATATTCTTCTGCCACTAGTTTGCTAAATTCATTGCTATAAGAAAACAGGATAGACTTTGTTATTAAAATCCAAGCTATTTAAAAAGACACACACACAAGGACACACTCAGACACCAGCCTTGGTACACAACATACTTCTTGCCTAGGTGCTTTGCGACATCCGATCTTTTGAATCTGTCTAGTTGATAAAGGCGTTTGGCCAACCTTTTGGCTGCTTCTACGTTGCTGCTGGTACCATTACTGAGACTTTCGGAGGTCTCCTTTTCCAGAATTTCAGTGCTCCCCATCTCAGAATGAGGCTCTAGCAGTGTTGTTTTTACCCCAGCATTGCTGTGAGAATTGATAAAGAAGAAAAAAAGGTTTTTCTTATGTGACAAAAAGGAAAAATAGCTGATGAAATTACCATGCTATTGTAAAACTAAATGAAAGAACTTTTAAATGAGATAGTTTTATCCTTAATTATTCCTAAAAGTATTTCCAGCTACCATATTTCAATGTACTGAAGAAGTGATTCCTTAAACCCTTGATGAGCAGTTCTCAAAACTTTTGGTCTCAGGACCTTTACATTTTTAAAAATACGGAGGACACCAAACACCTGTGTTTATGTGGGTTACATCTATTGATATCCACAGCATTAGTAATTTTAAAAGAAATATTTTAAATGTTAAGTCACTTAATAACAAACCCATTTCACGAATATAAATAGTATATTTTATTAAAAATAATAATGGTTTCTAAAACAACATAAAATTTAGTGGGAAAGGCAACAATTATTTGCATATTTAGAATAATGGTTGGCTTACTGAAGACAGCTGGGTTCTCACTGCCACTAACCAATACTTTGTTTTGGTTAAAATATATTAAGGAAACCCAGCATCACACAGATAGTCGGTTAGAAAAAAAAAAGAAGTAACTTAATATTCTTTCCAGATAATTTTAGATATTCTTTTTTTTTCAATGTGGCACTAAAATAAGATAAGTGGTAGGTTCCTAAAGGTTAGTGGCAATATAGTATCAAAGAATTTTTTGTACTCATATTAAAATTTGTCTTCTACTTTAAATCAATCTTTTACCCAGGCAAGATTCTGTACCATACATTGGCAATTTGCAAAATATCTGTTGCCACATTTCATTATACAATACTTTTTAAAATCACATTTATTACATCACCACTATTATCTTCAGAAAAATCTTTAATTATGGAAAAGCTACCAAACTCCTGGTGACAGATAAAAGTTTTCCAAATTTCTAAGTTTTAACTGAAAGCTCATGTTGCATTGTCGGCAAAAAAATATTGTCAGTTTTCTTAGAGTATTAATAGGTTTGCTCTATTAATTTTTGAGAAAATGGCTGCCAATAACCATAATTTGTCAGTTACACTTTGAAGGAAAAATGGCATTTCATAAAAAGCAACAAGTTTATAACTCACAAATCAAATGACATACAAGACTGTCCCAAAGAAAACCATCAGAAAGGCTTTATGCATATTTCCCATTTCATCACACATGAAATTAAAAACGTATATACTCAAGGGTTAAAATGTAATTATTCTGTACTGCTTCATCAAAGAATTTTTAGGTGAGACTGACTTTTGTTTTTATTTTGAGTGCATGATAGTGAAGAACAAAGTAACAACTAGGACAGTTTGGAGTCACTACCTTGATTTGTGCTAAAGTCTGCAAACCATTGCTTCTGCATCATCAATGTAAATATCAATACCTTGAAAAAGGAAAATAATACTGTACTGTTATTATAAAATAATTTTGAACTCATAAAACTCCTGAAAGGGTTTCAGTAAGCCCCACAAACCACAAAGTAAGCACCTCTGCCCTTGAAAGGAGTCACAAGCTAAAGCTATGGAATGCTACATCCTCCATTTGTAACATACCAATAATGCAATAATTTCCAAATCCTCATTTTAACTTGATAACTAAGGAAAGATACAAACATGATAAACTATGACATTTAAATAGCCTTCCAACATACTTACCACAGACTCTAAACCAGACACAGAATTTTTCTGTAATGAACCAGACACTAAATATTTCAGGCAAAGGCCACATTAGGTCTCTGTCACACATGCCTCTATTTTTGTTGTTTTTGTTTGTTTTTTTTTCTTTGTTTTTCCCAACTTTTTAAAACTTAAAAACCATTCCAGGCTAGGCTGAACAGGCAGGCCCACAAGCCTACTCTTGTCATGTCTTTGCTCTACATAGTTCTTTAACTTGACCTGAATTAAAGTGGAGTATCTATTTACGTCTAACCCAAGATATTCTGAAGAGGGAACAGAATGATAAAATTAAATATGTAATTATAATTGCTACAAAGGGTTTTCTTTAAGATTTTTATTTATTTATTTATTTGACAGAGAGAGAGAGAGAGAGATCACAAGTAGGCAGAGAGGCAGGCAGAGAGAGAGGGGGTAAGCAGGCTCCCTGCTGAGCAGAGAGCCTGATGTGAGGCTCGATCCCAGGACCCTGGGATCATGACCTGAGCCAAAGGCAGAGGCTTAACCCACTGAGCACCCAGGCGCCCCCGTTTACAAAGTTTTTTAAAACCAATAAAAATAGTTGTAAACTTACAATAAATGACAAAAATCATTGTAACAAAAAATGTTTTTTTTTTAAGAACTAACTATTCAGTATCTATTTTTGTCACTTACTGTACCTTATGATTTTCCATTTCCTATCACCAATAAGTGGTAGCCTGGCAGGTACACTATCACTCAAATGCAGCTCCAGCCACTAGGCCCAGCCAGTACACCAGGTAGCTCCTAGGAACTGCACTGCTCCAGACTTCCCCAACCACCGCTAGACTTGAGGGAGATAACCACCCCTCACAACTCCGCTCCAAACTCATTTTATTAGCAAGTATGCCACATGCTGTCCTTGAAAGAGAGCTATATGGGGAAGGAATAGAGAGAGATTATCCCATAGTGTCTTTTACACTCAACTATTCTGCTCAATGCACAGGTCAACTCACACATCCCACAGATCACTGTGGAGAAGCTAGACGTACCAAGTGGAGGCTTATCAAACCCAGGCTGACTTGACTTTACTGCAGCTATTAATGACAATACTTCATTTTTTAAAGTCAGTCAAATATTAAACCATAGCTGATGCCAGGACAACAAACATAAACTGGAACTGCCCCAGGCAAACTAAGATATTTGCTAACCCTTCTTTAAACAGTTAGCCACCTTAAACAAATTTCCAACAGAAATAGATACCAATTAAAATAAATTACTTCATTAAGAGATCTTCATGCAAATACATTTAAATATTTTTTCATCCTAAACCTTCCTCTACAGAGTTACCAGCCAGTTTTATGAAATCTATCCTATCAGAAAACTGAGTATTTAATCATTATATACAGCAAACCTGTAATATATAAACTCGTAGTAGAAAATTCTTTTAAAGGGCAACTCACACTTTGTGGTGGAATTGCAAAATATTTATTCCAAGAACTATTTTAGTTACAATCAAGTAATTTTTATAATTAAAAAGAAAACCCCTGCAGTTGTGTCTGCATGCATTCTCTTACTCTATGTAGTAGCTATCATGGAGAAAAAACAAATGCCAAAGAAAGCAGTTTCTTTTCAATTAAACTGCTACTTACCACTCATTTTTCAAGAAAAATTTATGGCATATATTTAATCACTCCATGTAAATAGTATAATTGCACCACACATACCGTACTGCAAAGATTTTGTTCAAATACAAGAGACTTATCCTAAAGAGCATATATATTTTATAAGTGTAGTGGTGACAGTCACTCTTGCTCCTCATTCCTCATGTTTGCCCCCTCTTTCTACTCTCTTGCCCAGTCCAGTCTATTTCACCTCATTCTCTCTACATTCTTCAAAAGGAGGTAATTTTAAAATCTGTTCAAATCAGATTTCTCTGGATCTTCTTGAAAAAACCTTCAATGAAAAAGAAAATAAGGAATACAGTGAGGATAAATACCTCCATTCCTAGATGGCTTCATTCTGTCCCATTTCATGATTTATGAGATTACATGAACAAGAACAGAGACTGGTCTTTTCAAATCAGAAAGCCTCACAATATGATGGCAATACAAACTCACCAACAATAAGGAAGACACCAAAGAGAACTCATCCCAGAGCATAGGGTGACTGGGCCATACATACATCCTCTTATAAGCCCCTTCTCAGCACTCTTTGCCCCACAAGTCCAGTGTTTGTTGGTCCACTAGAGCTTCTAAGGATCTAGCTCCCTGTGAAGTCATATTACTATGACCTCACCAACTTGGCAGAGGGCTTACTGTTGGGGTTTCTGTAATGTTTTTACAATCACATTAAAAATAGGAGCCCGAACAGAAGAGCCACTGTATATAAGGAGCATAAACAACAATGGTAGCCTAGCCTCGCTCACACTTGATAAAGCAAACTGGGTGATCCCTCTCAGGAGGGATGACACCCCATTTTGTTTCCTAGAATACACAAGAAATTGTTCATCTAGTTTGCTGAATATTAGATGCTTTCAGTAGTTCGATTTTTTCCTTTTTTTTTTTTCCTAGTCCCTCTTCTTGATCAAGTACTTTCACAATTTCCTAAGGTGAAATTCCTACTAGCCACTTAGATATAGAAAGACTCCCATTATTCTAGAAAATGCTTCACTGGGGCCTGTACCTCACACCTGCAAACAAATATGGTAACACTAACATCAAAAGAAAGATCAAATTATTGAGTCTGATCACCGGGCATTCCCATAACCTTTTTTAATGCTAGGATTGCCAGTTTTTCTTAATAAAAATAATAGGATACCTAATTAAATTTCAAATACACAAAAAATCTGAACTTCAGATAAACAAAAATTAGTTTTTAGTACAGAACATATATACACACACAAATCACTCCACGTTTATCTGAAATTCAAATTTAACTGGTCTTCTTATACTTTACCTAGGTTCTCCTGATAACACAACCTCCTAAAATGTTTGTTCTAAACTTATTTGAAGAATTCCAATAATGGTGTTCCCTAACTGCCAACAGGTAATGTGTTTCACAACCCATACCATGGGTTTATTGTGACTTACTTATGTAATTTTTATATTAAACTATTGTTCTATAGTTTCATCAAGACCTCTCAGTTGCCTATGACCTACTGATTCTTCTCTAACCTCCTCTAAGTATAAAGGAAAACCTCTCTTTTCTCTATATATTCACCATTCTTTCCAAGCCTACATACCGCTACCACAGATGTAATAATATGCCTCCTTCATAAAAATCCTACACACGATAAAAATCCAGGGGGAGAGTCAAGATGGCGGAGGAGTAGCAGACTGAGATGACATCAGGTCACAGGAGT